GAGGCCAAGCTCGAGGGGATTGAACTTGTTGAAATCACCAAGGCTAAAGTGAAAGTCATTCAGGATAGACTCAAGGCTGCCCAAGACCGGCAGAAGAGTTATGCCGACAAACGACGTAGGCCATTGGAGTTCGAGGTCGGTGATAAGGTCTTCTTAAGGATTTCTCCTTGGAAGGGTATCATCAGGTTTATATCGAGGGGAAAGCTTAACCCCCGATACATTGGTCCGTTTGAAATCCTCGAAAGGATTGGGGCGGTGGCTTACCGTCTCAAGCTGACGTCGGAACTTGAGAAGATACACGACGTGTTCCATGTATCGATGCTCAAGAAGTACGTGAGAGATCCATCTCATATTCTTGAGAAGCCACCGATGGAGATACGTGAAGATCTACAATATGCGGTGGAACCAGTAAAGATTGTGGGTCATCAGGTGAAGAAACTGAGGAACAAGGAGATTCCGATGGTAAAAGTTCTTTGGAGGAGTGATCGAGTCGAAGAAGAAACCTGGGAGACTGAGGTCTCAATGAGGGAGCAATACCCGTTTCTTTTCGATTAGACACGTGGATTTCGGGGACGAAATCCCAAATAAGGGGGGGTGAACTTGTAACACCGTCCCCAAATGTATTTATTTTTAAGAGTATAATGTATTGAACCTTACGGAATGGTTAAAGAGTATACGAAGTTGTGAATTTTTAATATTTCTTTTGCGCAAATAGTAAATTCGCACGCGGGACCCACACTGGGAGCGGGGCCGCCCGATATTCCCGAGACCGTATATTTTATCCAACTTGGTCGAAATAATATTTATATAGAGGGGGATAATTTATTTGGTCCAAAGCAATGACATAATGTGGACCGATTGGTCAAAAGCGGCTCAATTACCGGTATTGGTGATTTAACGGATAATAGCCCGAAATTGGATTTCGGAGACCTATAAATTAAAGTTGGGGAATGTACATTCATTATAAAGGGTATAATGATTAAGAACACATAATATATTTTATTTGACCCGATAAAGTAAAATACAGTTAAAACAGTCCGAAAAATACAACTTTCGGGACCGATTGTACACATTGGGACACAAAGGGATGACCTCCCACATGAGTGGGGGCCATCCCACGTTTTTTTGTGCTAGAATGGACAAGGGGGAGCTGGGTTGACAAGAGGATGAGTGGAGGAGGTGCAAAGGGACCCTTTGACCTCACTCATTGGCCATTTGAGACAAAACCAAGTCTCACAACCCATCCCCCCTACCATATTTCGGCCATCACAAGGAAAAGAGAGAGATAGGAAGCTCTTCAACCCCATACTCCATAGCTAATTCGAGCCCAAGCAAGGAAGTTCCAAGGAGGGAGATTAAAGGGAGAAAAAGGCTAGGAAAAGTGAGAAAGATTAAGGTAATGACCTTGTATTAACTTTTCCTTTATTTTTCCCCTACCCTATGAGGTACATATCTTATGGAGAACCCTTGAGGTTGTTCTACATGCCAATAGTTTGGAATAATGGGTTGGGGAGTAGTTCTAAGTCCAAGAACGGACTTAGAAGCCAAACCGACCGGTTCACCGGAAAATAACCTTTTAAGGGTTATGTGTATTGATTAAGGTTTTATGATGTTAAAACCTTGTTAGGAACTTGATTTAGAGTATCTTTGAGCTTCGCCGGAGTTTCGCCGGAGTTGGTCAAAGTTGGCCGGAGTTGGTCAAAGTTCACCGGAATTAGTCAAAGTTCAACCGCGGAGCGTAGAACACGCTTAAGCTCACTTAAGGTGAGGATGACCGACTATATTGCTTATAATTATTGGGTTAATTTCATAAGATTACCTAAATGAATTATATGTGTTTGGCATGATTTATTTATAGTACAAAAATGCCTAAATGAGATTTTTATTGTTTATAAGCAAAAATGCATAATATACAAATTTATGAATAAATTGTGTATGATTATGTGTTATGAATACAATGGTATAATAGTTGTGTAAACTATAAACCAAATTGTGATAAATATACTTTTACCTCATGTAAGGAAGTCATGGAAGGATAAAAGTGATATTTTGATATTAGAGCCAAGTTGTACTTGAATGTGGAATTTAATTGAGATATTCAAATTATTATGAACTCAAGTTACATTTGGAGTAGGCCTTAAGGGTTACTCAAAATGGATGGAACCTAGACTAAGAAGTGGTTTAGGGATTAGTTGACGTGACTATGAGCCGAGCTCTAGCACGTGGTAGTATGACTATGAGCCGAGCTCTAGCAAACGTAGGGTGACTATGAGCCGAGCTCTAGCACAAATTAGTATGACTATGAGCCGAGCTCTAGCAAACGTAGGGTGACTATGAGCCGAGCTCTAGCACAATTTAGTATGACTATGAGCCGAGCTCTAGCAAATGTAGTGTGACTATGAGCCGAGCTCTAGCACAATTTAGCATGACTATGAGCCGAGCTCTAGCATGAAGGAACGTGAGTTAATTATAAGTGAATAACATCCTAGATTGAGGGTCTTGGAAATTGAAACTTTGATTATACTTAGTATAGTTGTCATTGTACTTGTCAAATGCTTCCAAGTACTGACCTCCCCTTCACGGGGGAGGCCACCTCACAGTTTCAGGTAGGGAGTAAAGCTTGCTGCCATCACCGTTGTTCGGGTAGGATCCAAGAAGAGGAGACGTGGTTCGTGCCTCTTCAGATTCCATTTTTCAAACACTTTAATTAATGCTCATGGATAATGTTTTTCTATTGAATATTTAATGGGGGCTTGTATGCCCATGTTTGCCAAAGTGTGGCATGAACACTTGTACCAAATGTTTCCGCTGCTTTGAATGAATATTTTACATTATGTTTGTTTATGGATGTACTATGCGTGAATGATATCCCAGACGCCTTGTATAGTATGAATGTGTTGGACCGCGGTTGACTATTCGTACTGTACGGCGGATTGTTGACGTGTCCGGATAGGTCCGGGGCGTGACAAATATAGAACAAGCGCCGTATATTAACTTGATAGTAGCAATAAACTTAAGATGAAAACGATTGAGATTGATAACCTCAACACAAGCGGTTTATTGGTTTAATCAATATAATTAATTCCCCTTAGATTATTAACCATGAGATGCATGCATTAATAATCCAAGTTTACTACCATGAAAGGACCGAATTAATAACAAGCGTATTAATCGACCGATTCTAGTATTAATTAATATATGAAACAAAACTAGTTGATCCTTTAAGTAATGTTCAAAATATTAATATGAAATATGAATAGGAATTAATTAATACTCAAGAAAGAATATTAAAGAAGATGAATCTTACTATAGTTAATATCAAGATGTTAACTGATTGTCATCTTAGTAACACTCCCCGATATTAACGTAGAGGAAGAAATAACTATTACTATAACTAATGTCAAGATGTTAACTAATTGTCATCTTAGTAACACTCCCCAACATTGATATAGAAATAGTATTTAAAAGAAGAATTAATATTCAAGGAAGAAGATTAAAGATAATAACTCACAACTTACAAATTCATTAAGCTTCAAAGTAGCAAAACCAAGATATGGAAGTTTAGCTCCTCATTTGGAGACTAAACATGCTAAAAGAAATATAGAGAAATTCTATTCTAAACTGAGCTTAAGAGTATAAAGGAATTGGTATTTTTTGTTGTGAAGGAAAGGGGGTGTATTTATAGGCTTTTTGGGAGTGCAGCTCGGGTACTCGATCGAGTATATACAGATACTCGATCGAGTATGTGTAGAAATACCAGATTCGAGGTATACTCGATCGAGTATATGTTCATACTCGGTCGAGTATGTGTAGAAAGTGATATTCGAGCCATACTCGATCGATTTCGGGTTTAAACTCAAAGGCATACTCGATCGGGTATGTCGGTCTACCCGATCGAGTATAGACACTGAATCGTGGCCAAAATCTTCCCGGCATGTTCCTTTGTCTTCGGATCCGATCCGATTTGAAGTTTCAACCTTATACTCGATCGAGTATAGGTAATACTCGACCGAGTATAGACCAAAATCAGGATTTTCCCTTTTGTCTTGTGATTTTGCACCTTCCTTCCACTTTTGGGGTTCACCAACTGTCCTTTGAGTGATGGTAGACCTGTTTGAGCTCAGAATGACCCTAATCTAAACAAATTACAAGAATTCAACAAACTAAACTATTACACCAAAAGTGTGTAATTTCCGAAATACTAAACAACCAAAACTAGCTAAAAACGTAAACATACACACGGAAATTGCAAGTGTATCAAACATCATATCTATTCTACTAGATATTGAGAGTCTAATGATGAGCATTGTGATATCAGCTTCATATTTTATAATTCACTTTTTTTTCTTATTTTTTAAAATATCTATTATGAACCCATATGAATCCAATGTAATATTATACTTTTGAAAGATGGATAAATATGCCATTTAAATTGAGTATTACACCCATGGCCATCGGAAAATTAAAAAAGTTCATTTAATATCTCTGTTATGCTCAACTTTTCATTTGTGTATGCTCATATCAATAAAACAATGTATATCTACTATGAAATCGTCGTACACCGTTGTAGACTAGCTGGAAATCGCCATCTCCGAAGCTGAGACCCCTCGCTCATCACTTGTGGTTGAAATCGCTCACCAATTGCATGAACTCGCCGGTTCGTCGCTCGTCGGTTGCCGCTCGAGGCTGCTCGCGACTCGCCCAGACAAAACTCGCCTCGCCGCCTGGATCAAAGATCGCCACCGGAGATTGGTGCCAGACTGCCAGTCACTCGTGATTGGAGGTCGTCCGTCGTTGCTGTAGGTTGTTGTTGCTCTGAGCTCGACACTTTTCGTCATAGCAGGTGCGTAGTAGAGGACAAAAGACTCAATTGTATCATGCGCATGGTACAATCGGGAGTACAATATAATTTGCACATATTTTAGTCACCAATAACATTTTGTAAACAATCCTTAGTCATAAGTATGACTCGAAAGTCGAAACCTTTCAAATTCTCCCATCTCTCTCAAAACACATATATATAAAACTTAACTTTAGACGGAGAGGGAAAGTCCGATATTTGAGTTTATCAGAAGGATTGAAAGGTCCAGTGGAGGTGCTCTATACTACACTACCGAGTCCATAGGGAGTGAGTGAGAGATGCATGACGAGGAATCTTACCGTCGTCGTCGTCGTGTGGTGGGATTTATTGTGCAGTCCACTCACGTAAACTTTCCAAAACTTAAATCTCTCGAATTTTAATACCACAATCACGAACAGTTCCATCCTGAACTTCTGATTTTTCTGAGTTTGTTTTATTCTCTGAATTTATTAATGGAAACAAGGAACTGCAAGTCCCTCCGATTGTCAAGTACTCCGCACTTTGTCTTTTCACTGACCGATTTTACTCCTCTATCTCCAGGTACAAACACTTGCTTTTTCTTCAGGAAGTTTCTCATAATTTTCAAGCTCAATCTTAATCATGAAAAACTGGATACGTATTCTTCACACACAAAATCCGCATTTATTCAACACATTAGTTTGCCATCATCATGTGCAAGTTGTATCTGATGTTACTGTGAATTTACTGCTAAAAGTAACTTTACATGGGAGTAGTTAACATTAGAAGATATCGGGAACAGGCAGGTAAAATGCATATCGCGAGCACAGGCTAGCCAAGTCACCACCATTTACCAAGCACTTATATACTTGATCACTGTTAGTTCGTCACCATTGTAATTGATGTTCATTAAAGTAAATTGTATCATTGTAATGTAGATTGCTGTGGCAGAAACCATCAAACTTATGGCTTGCTCCCCCCCCCCCCCCCCCCCCCCCGAATCTCTAGGGTATGTGCGAGTCTATTGTGAGTTTGGAGCATCATAAGTATTATTCCAGACTAGAAATATCCGTTTGAGATTGGGCAAAGATTTGTATAATTGGGTAGGAAACAAATATTAGAGATTTTCACTTTCCTTTCTCCATTTTCACCCCTTCAAACTTCAACATGTCATAGCGGCTTGACAGTGCTATATGGAAAACAATTAAACCTGAATTATAATTTATAAAGAGAAGCTAGTCATCCAAAAATGAAAAATAAACTTAATGTTTTGGATGTTTGTCATATAGTGGCGCTTTCATGAGTTTTCTTCCTGTTACACTCATCAAAGGCTCAAATGGAATAAATGTTTTCTTTTTGAGGGAAATGGAATAAATGTTTTTGACCTATTTCCCATAGTGATATTGTGAACCTGTGATAGTGTGATGCAATATTTTCCTTACCCAATTTAAGCTAAAAGTCATAAATAGCTAGAGGCTGGATAATAAGATTATTGTAAGCCAATACAGGATTACATGCTCGACATTTGGTAATGGGATGGTAAGCTGTTAAATTTATGCCACAACATTTTATAATTAGGTTATACTGATGCTAATTAGTAATTAGATTAATGTCATCCATCTCTTCACATCAGGTGAATATCCCATAATGACTTGCATTAGCCTTTTTTGAGCCCTCAATGGCTTGAAATGTACAACTTAGCAAATTACCCCCGTTAGCGACTTCCTTCATTCTTTTTTTAATCCCTCAATGACTTCAAGCCATGCAGTCAAACTTGAACAAAGCTGACTTTTCCATCCCAAAATGTTACCAAACTGTGCAAGGTTGCCAACCATTTATCTTCATTTCACCACCAAAGTCTAAATATTGACCCAATGCATGCTATCCACACATTCTTTGGCCTAGTCTCATGGTAGTTATATTGAATTATTGATTCCACCATTATGTTACATATGACATTGCCGGCTTGCCGGCTTGTTCCAGAAATGGTAGAGTGATATTTAGCATAACTTTCTTTCATTTTAAATATATTGTTTTCATGAAAGCATTGTGGTTTTGTTTTTTACATGAAACAGCCACTTATATAGAAAGTGAAAAATGAGATTTTATGTCATTAGTTGTCCTTCAGAATTTTTCCATCATTTGCAATGGAGCCAAAGATTCATATTTTTTTGGCTTGAAAATATGATGGAATAAAGCAAAATAGCTCACTAAACTGTCCGCTTCTTTGTTATGAAGCAGCAGTCGGTCCATGCAATTTTGGACGCGATTTTCACTATGGGTCATCCGGAAACAGTCTCTCTGTGCATTAGTACAGGGGTAAGACTGCGTACATCCGACCCCCCTACCCCACCGTAGGTGGGAGCCTTTGCGGCACTAGGGTAAATGAAAATGATGATGATGAGTTGTCCTTCAGAATTATGCGGTAGGAATGGGATCTGGCATAAGTAATAACATGTTTTCACATTGATTTTCAAATGAATTTAGTGTTGAATAATTTCAGGCAATTGATTATAAAAACTCAGGCAATTGATTTAAAACAGTAAATTACTAAAATTTCATTTCACAAACCCTAACCCAATTGGGATTAAAACTTTTATTATGATAATCTCCATGCAGCATAGTAAAAGAAAAAATAATAATGGCGTAATATACAAGAAAAGTGATAAATGTATTGGTGGAAAAAATCTGGGATCGCAGAAATGCAATCACACAGATAGAGGTGAAAAGGAGATTTAACATTTTTGGCTGCTAGGAGATTTAATATACAAGGCTATGTTCTCACTTGTTGATCAGAGGGAATTTATGGAGAGATCTTGTGGGGAGAAAATGAATCCACAACTCACGGCTTGGCCATTGAAATGAAAGAAAGGATGGTCAATGACTTAGGGAAAAAAGTTTGACTTGTTCTTAAACCTGATATCTTGGACAGGATATAGAAATTCCATTGTATGAGTTATGATGTTTTTAATTGGACTTGTTTCAGTCCTAAACCAAACCAAATCAGACCAGATCAGACCTATGTTTTAAAAACCGGACCGGGAAGCTACTCGGCCACATGGCCGGGTCAAGTGGTCAACTAGAACCTGGTGGGTAAACCGTTTTTTGTTTTTGGCCACTTCTCGGTTTCTAACTAACCGAACTGGGTTTTGGTCCGGGTCAACTCGGCCGGTCCGTGTCGGTTTTTTAAGCATAGGATGAGACCAGACCAGACTTAAACAAACTAGACTAGACCTCGACAATTGTAATATAAATAGAGACCAAACATTTACCAGACCAGTTTAGACCAGTCCAAACTTAAACATTAGACCAGAAGATTTCAGTCCAAATAAAAAGTAAAAACATCCATAGTAGAGATCCAAGACTTTATGAGTTTATGCTCAAAACTTGCTGACTTACTATGAATTTTGATGAATGCTAAGAAATCCGGAATATCATCTGGTTAAGAGTGACTTATTGAAGAAAATAAAATGTGTCATTCGTCAGTTTATTAACATAAACAGAAAAAATTGTGGTACTGGCATACTGTAGTATGGTCAATTGTGCATAGTGCAGACTGCATGTGACTAGACATGTTCTGTTAGAATCTGTCTTCATGTGTTCGCCACAATTTTCCAAGTGGTAAGATGATAATAGCTGCTTAAGTCTGTTTGTATGGTAAAAGTATGTCTGCCAATGGCTTTATTTTCAATATCAACGTTAACTCCTTTCCATTCAGAAAGGGCCTGGACAAAGTACATTGGCTTTTGGATCCTATAAGTGAAAGTAATCTTCAGTTATTTGCTCTTGCTTCTATATGGATCTCTAGCAAAGTAAGTCTTGCCATGTTAAATGTTTGCCTTTACTCATTGGCCTTGTCATCAATTTGTTTTCCTTTTCATTACATTTTCTTTTCGAAGTAACCATGTAGTTTCATCTTACTTTTTCAGATTCACTCGTCTCCTCCTCTTTCTTTCAAGACACTGAAGTCATTGGGAGACAAGAGTATTTCTGAGCAACATTTTACAACAAGAGACTTTTTAGATGCAGTAAGCTAGCTATTTTTTAATAAAGTTCCAAGGGTGTATAATTCCATTTTCTAATTCTCCAGGTGGTGATAAGCTACTTTGTAGGAGCTATTGCTAATGCAGGTACCTAGCATTTTACTCTGGCTCTTGTGTCATTGCGTGTCTTTTGTTAAGTACGGAGTATGTCTTTCTTTATCGTCTTCTCTGGACACTTCTCTTCCGCATCAAACTTCAAACCTCTCTGTAAATTCTTTTCACGCCACTGGATAAGAAGTAGGAGGCCAAATCTCGATCAGTTTTTTCTTCCACACCACACCTTTTGTATATACTTAGTGCATATGTTTATTTTTCACAAGGTATTGAAATATGAGATTGGCGTGTCATGCATTGCCTATGTATTCCTGGAGGATCTCATTATTCAATTGAAGTGAGTGTTTTACCAAACTGGACCTGTTGACAAATTTTCGAACTTCTTGAAGTTTCATTTGACTCCACTCCATTTGAGTGACTTTAGGGATGTTGCACGCGTGGGTGAACATGTGAGCTATGAAGCTTGCATGGATATCATGGACCTACTTTATGAAATGGAGGAGACTTCAGTTCTTTTCACTACTTCGAAATGCTTAGCGGCATCTATATTGGCATGGTTTTTCTATTTTTATTATGATTCAGAATAACACATTTTGTTGAACATATTATATACTGGATGTCATTGATTGTGCAATTTGCAGGCTGCTGCATATGTGATCACAGTTCCCGTACAACGATGGGAGTTCCCTATTCTTCCTTGGGGTAAGATTGCAAACACAGCATATTAAATTCCATAATCCATTACTGGCATGGTTTTTTTTGCTTCTCTACTAGTTGCTCGACTGTTCGTAATGACAGTACATTGTAATTATTAATCATTACCAAATTTTTATATGATGAGTTTAAAGTAGGATTAATGCGTAATTTGGCTTGACTGCTTGAGTAAACTGTGACCCTAACCTAAGTTCATGTACATAGAAAAGTAGGAAATATCAAACTTCTATTTGGAATATTTGTACTGATGGCGAGGATAGTTTTTTTTTGTTATGTGATTGAGATTGCGAATTGTGACCTAAACTGTCTGTCAGTGTAAATAGTCACCTCTATGACCATGAATGAAATGAGAATATTGTTGGAAAATTATTACTCAGTGAGCAATAGCTTCAGGTAAGGCTGTAACGATATGGAAGGGGGAAATACTTCATAAGTTATCACATTGTTAGGTCATCTAAGAGCATCTTCAATGGTACAATGTGCACGGTGCACACGTGGCATGAGAGATGACCACATAAATATTAGTATATAAATTATTTCTCTCCTTATTTAAATGATTTTATACAGTTTTGGTAAGTTTTTGTCCACAATGTCAAGGAGACCGTCTAATGTTGACATTGTTGTTGACATTGCAGGGAAAAACTTACCAAAATTGTATAAAATCATTCAAATAAGGAGAGAAATAATTTATTTGCTAATAATTATGTGGCTATCACTCATGCCACATGTGCACCGTGGACATTATAGCATTGGAGATGCTCTAAGTTTTAGTATATACAGAATAGATTGACAAATGTAGGAAAGAGTCTGGATAGTTAATAAGTTATTGATAATCACTGGTGAAGGATGTAGCTTTGAGATATAAATGAAGAATGTTATAGTTATGAGAGTAACCTCAATTGCGGTAAAGAGTGCACCCAAGTAGAGTTAGAAGAATTGTTAAACAAGTGATTGAGTCCCTGTTCTCTTAATTATTTCCTTCAACTTATTTCACAATTACATGGAAAACTGTATTTTCATTTCAAATCTGGTCATCTTTTATCAAAGATGGTGCATTTTAGTGGTTTTGTATAGACCATTTACAGGACAGGCTGGAGAGCTATAGGTTCAGGTTGTAATTAGGCAATTTTGTTTCTCCCATACACTTTACCGCTCTAGATGTACCACTTAATAAAAGGAAACGCACCCACCTAGAATTTTTATTACGGAGTACTAGTTTTGGTGAGAACTCAGAAGTGGTCAGTTGTGTTGGGAATAACAGGATCGTGCTAATATGAGAGAAAAACACTTCTATTACTTTCAAGAATAGAAAGAAGAGACATACAAGCTCTAACTAAAAACTCTCAAAACAACACCTCACATATCTCTCAAGGATATTCACAACTCTTCTTGGTTGTGCTATGATGATCTATTCTAATTTACTTGATGATAGAAAGACTCTCCAAGCTCTCTATTTATAGCACCAAAACTAGGTACTATGAAGGTGGAAGGAAGCTTCAATGGTGGTTGGAAGGAAGGTCACTCCTAGGTGTATGGAAGATCCCTTTGTCATTCTTGCACATGGAGGAAACTTCAGGGACATTAGGAATTGGATTCTTCAATTTGCTTGTACTTGGATATGACCTGGAAATTGAATTCTTCAATTCTCCCCTTCCAGGCATATTCAAAACAAGCATCCCGACTATGTCTCTGCATAGCTCTAGCTTATCTCGTGTTACCACCTTCGTCAGCATGTCTGATGGATTCTCCTTTGTATTGATCTTCACTAGTCTCAACAGTTGTTGATCAATCGTCTCCCGTATCCAATGATACCGAATGTCAATATGCTTTGTACGAGAATGGTACATAGAATTCTTGCTCAAGTCTAGAGCACTCTGACTGTCACAATGTACCTTGTACTCTTTCTGCTGGATCCCAAGTTCTTGGAGAAAACGCTTTAGCCACAACATTTCCTTACCTGCTTCAGCGGCAGCAATGTATTCTGCTTCTGTAGTAGATAAAGCGACACACTTCTGCAATCTTGATTGCCAAGAAACGGCTCCCCCTGCAAAAGTGTAGATATATCCTGAAGTAGACTTTCTACTATCAGTATCTCCTGCCATATCAGCATCTGTGTAGCCTTCCAAGACTGGATCAGCTCCTCCATAACAAAGACATAACTTCGTGGTACCTTTCAAGTACCTGAGAATCCATTTGACTGCCTCCCAATGCTCCTTCCCGGGGTTAGAGAGAAAACGACTCACTGTACCCACTGCCTGTGCGATGTCTGGCCTTGTGCATACCATGGCGTACATCAAACTCCCAACTGCTGAAGAATATGGAACTGCTGACATCTCCCCGATCTCTTCCTTGGATGTAGGGCATGTTCTTTTGCTCAACTTGAAGTGATTCGCAAGTGGAACACTTACTGGCTTGGCATCATTCATGTTGAATCTCTCAAGTACTCGTTCAATGTACTTCTCCTGAGATAGCCATAACTTGCGATTCTTCCTGTCTCGAGTGATCTGCATCCCAAGAATCTGTTGAGCCGGTCCTAAGTCTTTCATATCAAAAGACTTAGAGAGTTCTTTCTTCAGTTGGTTTATCTTCACTGCATCTTTCCCAACGATCAACATGTCGTCTACATATAGTAGAAGAGCAATGAAGGTACCGTCTGGAAGTTTCTTGATGTATACACACTCATCTGCAGTAGTCTTCTTGTAGCCTTGACTCTTCATGCATGAGTCAAACTTCTTATTCCACTGCCTTGGTGCCTGCTTCAAGCCATACAAACTTTTAGATAACTTACACACAAAGTTATCATTTGAGTTCTCAAAACCTTCCGGCTGCTGCATGTAGATTTCTTCTTTCAAATCTCCGTGAAGAAATGCTGTCTTCACATCCATCTGTTCAAGCTCCAAGTTCATACTTGCTGCCAAGCCAAGAATAACTCGGATTGAGGTCATCTTGACAACTGGTGCAAAGATCTCATCAAAGTCAATTCCTTTCTTCTGCTGGAACCCTTTGACAACCAACCGAGCTTTGTGTTTCACCACTTGTCCGCTTGCATCCTTCTTCAGCTTGAACACCCATTTGTTCCTTAGTGCCTTCTTCCCTTTAGGAAGTTCTACGATCTCATAAGTTTGATTTTTCTGCAGAGATTCTAACTCATCCTGCATTGCTATTAGCCATTTTTCTTTATCCTTATGAGATACAGCTTCTTGAAAACTCTCCGGTTCTCCATCTTCAGTTAACAAAAGATATTCGGATGATGTGTACCTTGTCGATGGTATATGCCCTCGTTCAGATCTACGAACAGTAGGAACCATCTGAGAAGAGCTACCATCATCTGTGTCTGGCGGGGTGGATTGTGTCTCCCCTTGCTCTGCACTCTCTTCTGTCTCCTCGCCTTCTTCTGTTTCTGAGTTATCTTCATGCACTTTGTCCTCTTCTGGTGCTTCATTTGAAACTTGAACACCCTCATTTGACTTCCGAGACATTGTGGGTTTTTCAATGTCTTCTATTGTCAAATCTTCGTGGAACACAACATCCCTACTTCTGAACACCTTTTTCTCCTTAGGATCCCATAGCCTGTATCCAAACTCTTCATTTCCATAGCCAACGAAAATGCATGGGATAGTTCTTGGATCGAGCTTCTGCCTGAGCTCTTTGGATACATGTGCATATGATGAACAGCCAAATACTCTAAGATGTGAGTATGTAGGATCCTTACCTGTCCATAACCTCTCTGGAACTTCAAAGTTCAGTGGTACCGAAGGTGATCGGTTGATAAGGTAGCATGTGGTGTTGACTGCTTCTGCCCAGAATGACTTCGGAAGCTTAGCCATATTCAGCATGCTCCGGACACGCTCCATGATAGTCCGGTTCATTCTTTCAGCAACGCCGTTGTGCTGAGGGGTGCGTGGTACTGTCTTCTCATGTCGAATGCCATATTCTCTACAATATGCATCGAACGCCTTAGAAGTATACTCGCCTCCATTATCAGATCGGAGACATTTCAGCTTCTTTCCCGTTTCACGTTCCACCAAGACGTGAAATGTCTTGAAGCACTCAAATACCTGATCTTTCGTAATCAGGAAATACACCCACACTTTCCGAGAAGCATCATCAATAAAAGTCAGAAAATATCTGCTTCCACCGATTGATTCCACCTCGAAAGGACCACAGACGTCGGAGTGTACCAAACTTAACAACTCTGATCTTTTAGCTGAAGTAGAACTGAATGATACTCTATGATGCTTACCAAACAGACAATGACTGCAAGGACCCAGTGCAGCATTCTTGTCGATGTTGATAAGGTTCTTCTTAATCAAGGTAGTCAGCCCTTTCTCACCGATGTGGCCGAGCCTCAGATGCCACAGATTCTGAGTAGTCTCCTCAGCAATATTGAGGCTATCCGTACAAATCCTCAAATGAGTTTTGTACAATGTGCCACAAACATGTCCTCGAGCGATTGTCAAAACGCCCTTTGACATTTTCCAGGTGCCCCTGTTAAAGTGGTTTTCATACCCCTGTTCGTCAAGACATACCACTGACAGGAGATTGAGACGAAGGTCTGGAACATGTCTGACATCCTTCAACGTGATTGTGCTCCCAGAACTCGTCTTTATTTGTACATCACCAATTCCAGCTATTTCAGATGAACTGGAATTGCCCATCTTCACTGCTCCAAAGTCTCCAGCTTTGTAAGTTGTGAAGTAGTACCTGTGGGGAGTAACATGGTAGGATGCTGCAGTATCTACCACCCATTCAGTGTCCTCTCTTGAGACGTGAAGGCATGTTTCATCATTGATAGTACAATACGCCACATCACCTGAGATTGTGATGAGCGCTTCACCACCCTTGCTCTTCGCTTGAGAATTGCTCTTGCCTCGCTCCTCTAGCAATTTGTAGCAATTCTTCTTCATGTGACCCTCTATACCGCAATGGTGGCAGGTATAAGAAGGTTTCCGGCCATCTGATGATCTCCCCCGACTTTTGCCCCTGCTTTGCCATTTCCCTCTACTGTTTCTTTGTTGTTTTCCTTGTGATCTTCCTCTATTCTCTGTCACAAGGGCATGAGTCTCATCTGTGCTCATGTCTTTCCTTCTTGCCTCCTCATTGAACAGTGCATCCTTGACCACAGACATGGTAAGTTTGCCATCTGGGGCTGAGTTGCTGAGAGTAACAACTAGTGTCTCCCAACTATCAGGAAGGGAACTAAGAAGCAGTAGAGATTGCATTTCATCTCCAAGTGGCATTTCTACACAAGATAGTTGATTTACCAGACTCTGAAATTGACTAGTATGTTCGGCAACAGAAGTTCCACTTTTGAGCTTCATATTGACAAGACGCCTCATCAGTAGGGCCTTGTTCCTAGCGGTCTTGGCCTGGTACATATCTTCTAACTTTTTCCAAAGGGCATAAGCATCGGTTTCTTGTGCAACATGGTGGAAGACACTATGGTCAATCCATTGTCGGATTTGACCAATAGTTTTTCTATTAATTTTCTTCCATTCCGTTGACTTAGCCGGGTCAGGATTAATACCTTTCATCTCTATTGGATCAAAAAGGTCTTTACAGCTAAGGAAATCTTCCATCCGAGGTTTCCATAGCGTGTAGTTGGTAGCCGTGAGCATAATCATAGCTCCGGAAGATGAAGTTGACTCGTCAAAGGTCATTTTCACCTTCTAAATAATTTTGATTTTCTGTTTCAGAAAAATCGGAGCAGAATTTCGAAAAACGGGCAGCACCGTTGCGTCCGGAACGGCCGAAAATGGTGGGTAGGCACTTTCGGGGTCAAAATACAATTTTCGAAAAATTATAGGCCGAAATTATAATTTTTCAAAAATTGAGGGACCAAACTGCAATTTTTCAAAATTTAAAAACTGACCGGTGACGTGGCAGATGACGTGGCAGTGACGTGGCGGTGACTGGGCGATGACGTGGCAGCTGACTGGGCGCTGGTGAAAGTTGGCAGTTGACTAGTGACGTGGCGGCTGACTGTGCTGGGACTGCACATGTGGCGCTGAGGTGTCGCTGACGCAGCTCTGGCTGGCTGATGACGTCAGCGATGACGTCAGCTGTCTTCAACCTCTGTCTGCGCGTGATGACGTCAGCATGACGCAGGCAGTTTATGGCCGGCGTTTGGCGGCGCGTACGGCAGCTTCCGGTGGCCAAAAAAATCCCCAAAAATACCAGTTTTCTCGTCTCGACGAGACGAATCCAACGGTATATTCAGATTGCAATTCTGAGCAATACTGAAAAACTCGATTTTTCAGACAGTAGAATTTTATCTGAAAAAATCTGGGAAAAATATCAAAAGCTCAACCAGTCTCTGATACCACTTGTTGGGAATAACAGGATCGTGCTAATATGAGAGAAAAACACTTCTATTACTTTCAAGAATAGAAAGAAGAGACATACAAGCTCTAACTAAAAACTCTCAAAACAACACCTCACATATCTCTCAAGGATATTCACAACTCTTCTTGGTTGTGCTATGATGATCTATTCTAATTTACTTGATGATAGAAAGACTCTCCAAGCTCTCTATTTATAGCACCAAAACTAGGTACTATGAAGGTGGAAGGAAGCTTCAATGGTGGTTGGAAGGAAGGTCACTCCTAGGTGTATGGAAGATCCCTTTGTCATTCTTGCACATGGAGGAAACTTCAGGGACATTAGGAATTGAATTCTTCAAGTTGCGCTGGTGGACCATGCTCTAGATGTTTGGTCGTTGCTCCCGTCATAAAAAAATTGTTCTGCTTTCCATTATACAATCAAAATACACCGTGATTGTTTTTTGTGAAAGTATTTATTAAATTCATGTATTTTTTATCCAAATGTCTAGGTCTCTAGGATGCTTCCATTATGTATTAGTTTTTATTGGTAATCCATTTAACAATTAAATTGTGATATAGATTAGAGTCAATTAAGAATAGTAGAAAATGGTACTATAGATTGATAGTTCAGTAGTTCACCCCTAGTTTAGCATTGATCATGATAGTTCACTACGCTAGACTCTCCACTTGATATTGTTTTTTGTTGAAAAAAGACACGGCATCATTCAAATACTCCGTATGAAAATATTTATGGAGTTGGCCAATGCGACTTTTTTCTAACACTAACCCAATTTTGAACGGTCCAGTAGGGAGTTCTCTCCCTAGATATCTTCAGAAATACGTAGTATTTTGTTCCATTTGGTCCTGTTTTTAAGGTACAGTTTTGGTTTTTACCAAATCAATGAAACGTTTAAATGCATTTAAAATCGGATGTTCGTGTGTGGATGTGAATGGGGGTTTGTTGTGATGATATTTGTCTTGATCTTTTTTATTAGAGAATTTACCCTAAATAGGACTAAAAACGTTTGTAAATTCCAAAATGGGACTGCCATGTTTTTAATTCCCAAAATGGGACTAATTACTGTCATGTTTTGGAAGTAGCAGACTTTAAACATGGCAGTATTTTCCAAACATGACAGTAATTACTCCTATTTTGGGAATAAAAATATGACAGTCCTATTTTGGAATTTACAAACGTTTTTTTTGTCCCATTTCAGGAACTTTCCCTTTTTATTATTACAGGTCTAAATTCGGTATGTTAGCCCCTCAACTCGTCGTTGGCCCATTTTTATCATCAAATAATAAGTACCTACTATTCTGGTGCAGTTGTGTTTGTCACTTCATGCAGAGAGCAGGAGGTTGTGAATACGGTCAAAGTTATTCTAAGCCATGTTTTTGAACCGGGCCCACGTCCTTGATTTGGAGGGATCTGTCGCTCTTTATATCTTGCTGAAGATCAATCACAAGGATGCGACCCCAATTGCACGCTTAGTCAAAGGTCAACAAACACAACCATACCTTGCACCGTCTTTAAAAATTTGTTTCAGATTGTCTCCATGGACATTTATGATATTTTCTTTTGCAAATTGGGACATATAGCTGGATTTCATTAGTAGTCATACTAGTTTTTGCTGTACTACCTTTCTTCCTTACTCTTAATCTTTTCAGTTCGTCTCAAAATAATATTCGATTTCTCATTTTGGCAGGGACGAAGGTATGTATGTGTAGGGGGCCTTGCCCCCCAACTTTTTTTTATTTTTTAGTAAGCTAGTACTCCCTCCGTATCTAATTACTTGTCTCACTTTCCCTTTCGGGACGTATAAAAAAATGTCTTATTCCCTGTTTGGAAAGAAACCCACTCAAAAAACTGTTACAGTACCGTAACAGTACAAAAAATCTCCTACTTTACATATAATCAATATTAATTGTCTTAAATTATGTAAAAAAGCAAATGAGTCAAGTAAATAGATACGCAAGGAGTATTAGATATTAAATTATCAGAAAAGATTGGGTAAAAGCCCTCCAACTTTTGTATTTTTTTGTAGTACTAGTATTAGATATTAAATAATAATAAAAATTGGGTCATAATTACCTGCTAGAAGTCTTTATTTGAGATACTTTTGGGTAGAATTTTTTGATGAAATTTTGTCATCACGTATTTCATGAAGTGTAGGTTATGTCCATTGAATTTCAATATAAATTTTAAGTGGAAAGTCAATTAAATAAATTATGGAAAAACACTGTGTTTTATATATATATTTTGGTGCAGTGTTTTTGAATTATTTGTTTGACTGACTTGCCAATTAAATTTTAAACTGAAATTTGATGTAAATAATCTGCACATCATGAAGAACATTGTCACAAAAAATCATAAAAAAAAATCATCCGGAAGCACCTCAAACATAGGCATCCGGATGGTGGATCTCGTCAGGTAGTTTTGATAGGATTATTTCTCATGAAATAATTATATGATTAAAAAATATAACAAAATATGTTTTACTCCTCAAATAGATCTTATTTAGTTCTATTAAAACTAATTTGATTAAAGTTTGCCAAAATAGGAGTGGATAAGTCATATTTTGAGAATAAAACAACGATGATCCTATTTATAAATTTTATTTTTATTCTATTCCTATTTAAAGAATTTTCTCTTTATTATTTGTGTTCCTTCTTGGCCCCCCATGACTAAATCCTGACTTCGCTTCTGCTTTTTTGGTAGAGAATTTGTGGTTCACGTTATTTCTTATATATTCTTACACATTTCTCTCTTCTATAAAAAATTCTCCACCACAAAATACGCACTATCTTAATCTCTATGTCAAATGTATTTTCGAAAATAATTTAGGCACAACGGAAGTAATTACTACTTCAGTCTCACTAAGATTGATACAAGAGAAGGTGGCACGATTATTAAGAAAAGTGAGTTTATGTGGTTGATATTAAATTGATAAAGTAAGAATAAAGTAAGAATGGTTTAGAGTCACACAAACTTCACCAAATTTGGTATAAGACAATCTTAGTGGGATTTCCCAAAAAAGTAAAATGAGACAATCTTAGCGGGACGGAGGGAGTAGATGTTAAAAAGTATATTTTTGTATTTTACACTATTTACAAAGTCTATTTTAATTATATTTTTTGGTTAGTGTTTTAGGAAAATATATGGGAGAATTCCCTATATGGAAGTAAATAAATTCGTAATTGTCAAAATAGGACTAGAATTTCAAAATTCCCAAAATAGGAGTTATTATTTGTATTTGGACAATGATACCCTTGAAGCTTGGTAACATGTTGCAGACACAATGATGGATTGATGCCACTCGCCGGCAACCACTGCTTGCCGGCCACCGCCGCTCGCCGGCAACCACCGTTTGTCGGCCACCGTTGCGGCCTCAAAATTGACCGCCGTTGCAGATCTGGCAGCCTCCACTGTAGATCTGGTCGCCGGAGCCGTAAATCTGGACGCCTCCAGCCGCGGACTGTTGCCCCTTCAAATTCGGCTGCGGGCGTTGCAGATCCGGCCTTTGCCGCTGCAGATCCGACCTTCACCATTGCATCTCAGGCCGCCGCTGCCCAACATTTTTCTCATAATGCCAACATGAATCTAAAATGCCATTTTAATGGCATTTTCAAAGGGAAACACAGATTTTTCAGAAGAATAAAAATGCCATTTTGATGACATTTTCAGAGTAAATTTGGCAATTTTAACAACTAAAGAAGAAATTGGCCTAACATCCGACCTGCGACAACTACAGAAGACGAGAAGAGAGAAACAATAGAGGAGGAGGGGGAGAACAATGAGCTTCTTTACTCCGCCAAGGCGGCAACTAGGGCTGGCAATATCACCCGCACCCGCGGATACCCGGTCAACCCGAACCGAAAATATGGATGAAAACCCGAAGAAGTATGGATGAAAAATGGATGACGGGTGGATCGAAAGACGGGGTGGATCGGGTGTGGATGAAGGCTCATCCAACCCATCACCCGACCCGTCACCCGTTCCATCCACCCACCCGCTGACCCGCATATAATTATATAATATATAATATATAATATATATTCTATCTATTTAATAATAATAATAATAATAATAATAGTTAATTGGTGAAACAAAGATAATTGGAGAGCTTCAAGAAGTGGCAGTTAAATAGCAAAAATAGTTTTGTGCCGATGCATAAATGCAGAATTTAACAACTTGAAGAAGTTTTATGTCTATTTTGTTTAACATTCAGTTTTTTTCTTTATCATTGGCAGTGAATTAATGATTGTAATATACTTAATTGCTCATGTTTTTGTTGTTATTTTACAATGAATTCTTAATTTTTGGTTCTTAATTGTCATGATATCTCTTTGTAATTTATTTATTTTGTCTCAAGTTTGAACATTTATACTTCACCCGCTACTCACCCGATCCACCCGATAATCCGTTCAAGATGGATGGGTTGGATGTGGATGTAATTTTTAATGGATGATGGACGGGTGGGTGGAGTATAAAAAATTAACGGGTGGACGTGGATGAGCCTCCACCCGGTAAAAATCCGACCCGCTGCCACCCCTAGCGGCAACAGATCTGATCGGATTTACTACTCCCTGCTTGCGCCTGCTCACATCTCTTGCTCGTTGCTAGCCGGGTCGCTACAGTTTCTCGCAGCTTCCAGAATCTCGTTGTCGCAGCTCAATATATTGGAGAAGATAGCTGGTGAGCAGAGTCTAATTTAAAAAGCATATTGGAGAAGATAGTGGTGGGTAGAGTTTAATTTAAAAAGAAAAGAAGAAAATTGATCTGCCAATGATGTGTGGGTGGAAAAGAGAGGTTGTCTCCTCGGCGTCGATCTCATGAGTAGGAGGGGTAAAAGTGGAATAGTAGTCCTATTTGGGAATAGAAATATATCTACTCCTATTTGAGAATTTAGACACTAATTTAGTCCTATTTAGGATTAAAAAAAACTCAAAATATATTACTCATAAAAGTTATTTTTAAATTTATCTCAACCAAAAGTTTTATATGCGATGTATATGTTTTTTCATAATTTTTAACAATAGTTGTACATATTCTCTAATCACTTATAATATAAGTTATAACATCCACTTTTAAAATATAAACAAATTGTGAATCCTAGGTGCCGCTCCTTTTCCGATCCTATTGATCTCTCCAGCGGTCGAGTAGGCCAATCATCAAATCATACTAGCAACCTTTTCCCTTTATTCACATATTATTGTGATGTAGTGACTCAAACTATCTAATGATGACATCAAATATTAGAAATTCTTGGTAGAGGTATGATCCAATTAGATTATTCTTCTTTTTTGGTTGTGTTGATTTTGTTCTACGATGGTTCTTTCCCGGGCACTTGTGCTCCGGGGTGGTTTGTCTCTCTCTATGTAGGGAGTTTTTTTGGTGTCTCGGCAAGCTTTGTCTGGTTAAGGATTTCTGCCAACCTTCTTTTAGAGTGCGAAGACATTGGCATAGCTCGTCCTCCTCCAGAACCACCTCCGTATCATGAAGAGTATTGTGGAAAAAATTTATTTCAATTTTATTTTTTCCATCAACAGTACTCTTTTTTTATATTTCAGTTATTGTTATTTTGTCATTTGGATTCTTGTTAGCGTCTATGTTGTTATGTTTGTCAGTTTGTTTGGAAATTTAGCCTTTTTTTATGTCATTGGGAGTGTTTGGATCTATGGAACCAGAGATAGTTGTGTCAAGCCAGCTTTATTGTTAGGGATTCGTGTTGATCTTTTAGGGGTAACCGTCTCTAAGTCTGATCATAGGGTTTATAGTCGCAGTTGTTGGAGATTCGTTGATGTCAGATTTGTTTTTCTTTTACTTAACGTAATGATCCAAAAACTTATGATATGAATAGAGATGAGTTTATGTTAAAAAAAACAATAGTTGTACATATATGAATAGAGATGAGTTTATGTTAAAAAACAATAGTTGTACATATATGAATAGTTAAAGTAGTGTCTTGGCAATTAAAAAGGTACAGAAGTACTATAAAATTGACTAATTGTTTTTACCCTAATCTCGGCTTAAATTTTTTATTGAATATAAAATTTAAAAAAATGCTATTCTAAATTTCTAATGTTACCTCCTTCTGGGAAAAAAAAATCCACTTTCTTTTTTTTACAGATTTCTCAACTTTCAACAAGTTCTTATTTCTATAAAGGAATTTTTTTATGCAAAAGTTACAACTATCCATACTTTTTACTTCATTTTACAACTATCCATACATAAAATAAGTGTATACTTGGAAAATAAAAAAATAAAAAACTTTTCTTACACAAATATGTGTAGGCTTAATTGGGAACTTCAATTTGGAACGCAGAGTGTATTTTAAAAAGTAATTTTGATATGTATTCCAATGAGATCATTGACCTTGTTATGATGTTATGCGTATTATTTTTAATATTTTATAATTAAGTTGTCGAGTCTAACTTATTTGTTAAAATAAAAATAAAATCTTAACCTGAAACATCTAAAAGAGGTAAGTGATAAGTTTAAATTGGAATAAATGGATTATCAAGTAGTATGCACTATTTTGAAGGTGAGATTTGCATTGGTAGTGATTGGTCCGTTCCTAAACCTTCTAGTTTCTAAGCGCTCGTTTGGTAACTCTGTTTTTCAGTTTATCAAGTTTATCAGCCAATTTATTAATCAAACACGTGACTTTTTGATTTCATGCGCTGAATTTTGAAATCACAAGATAAAGTAAGGTTGATGTTACTTTTCTGGCTGTATTGGCTGAAGTTACTGTAGAAGATCATTTTAGTTTTTTTTTTTTTAATTTAAGAAAACCAAATTTTATCAAACGTGCAGGAAATACAACGTAAGGAAACAAAAAGCCTTTCAAAACAAAAAACAATTAAAAATTATTACAAATATGAGAAACTTCTAAAGGATCCAACTCGATGGCTCCAAGAATATCTCCGGTAGGCATGGCAAATGGCAATGGGTCGGGGCGGGTACTGCAAGACCCGGACCCGCCCCATGACTTAGCGGGGCGGGTCCGCCCCGCCCCGTGACTTGCACGGGTCCAAACGGTCCGCCCCGCCCCGTCAAAACCTAATTTGCTATTATGTATTTTTATTTGTGGGAAGTTGTTACCCATTGAATCTACATAAAATTTATCTCTAAATAATAATTAAAAATAAATATATTAAATCAAATTCATGATACGTTAAAAATTTCAAAAATTAAGGAAAAATTATTCAGACTTGAATACTTAATCTATTTAATTATATTAATAATTGAATATATTTATTAAAATGCTATATATAAAGAAAACATTGATAATCCGTCGTTCATCTCATTCTTATATATATATATATATATATATATATATATATATATATATATATATTATAAGATGAAAAAAGTTATGATTTATTGTATACACATATGTATGTTGAAGTATATTTGTAGTATAATTTAAGAAAAAGTATGTATACTTATATAACGAGCGGGTCGGGGCGGCACGGGTCAATACTAATACCCGGGCCCGCCCCTCTGTATAGGCGGGACGGACCCGCCCCATTTGCAAGACGGGGCGGGTCGGACCCACCCCAAATGTCTCAGGCCAGGGCGGGTCATTGCGGGTCGGTTTTTTTTACATCCCTAATCTCGGGAGATCCTCATGTTTGTAAACATGCAATTACCTATTGTATTATGGAGTTCACCAATCTCGAATGCAATGTTGTTAACCCCATGGTGAACTGGAGACATTCTCAAATATATGGTCCCACCTCTTAGCTATTTTTTATATAATGTACTCCCTCCCTCTCCTTTTAAATATCCCGTTTTACCATATTGTGATGTCCCTATTTAAATGTCTCATACCTTATTTGGTAATGTTTGTGTAGCTCAAAATCATTCTTACTTTATCAATTAATTATCAACCACACAAACTCACTTTTCTTAAAACTCGTGTCACCCTCTTCCGGGACATTTAAAAGGGGACGGAGGGAGTATTTCTTTTTTAATTTTATTAATATAATACTCCGCATATTTTAAATATAATTTTTTCATAAATCAGCAGAATCTGGCAATACAATTTAGTTTAAACTAGGGCTGGGACCGGTTTGGTTCTTACTCAAAATGAGTGGAACCATTATAAAAGTTTTAACTAATGAAATCGGTTCGGTTCCTATATAAAAAATCAAGAACCGTTATGGAACCGAACCGGCAGTAAACGGTTCGGTTCTTCCTTTTACCGGTTCCTAGAATAATTTTTTCTCGTCTAAGAATTAACAAATAATTTTAAACATGTCGAAAATTCAAAACACGAGTATTAAAATTTTATTTGAAGCTCTAATCACTTCAAACATCAAAGCTCAAACTTAACTAATGAACTTTGAACACTTAATAGAACAAAAGTGATTTAAATTTTCATGTAATAAATGAAACATTAAAAATTAAAAATCGTTATAGTGTTGGAGCGATGAAGGTTACTCGTCATCATAGTAGCAAGAATAGGACGCCTACTTCAAGTCGTTCAAAACATAAAAAAAAAGACACTGAGTTTGCATGTATAGATATAAAAAACATTATTACATTCTATTGATTCATAATAAATCTAATAATTAGAAATATCATGAAAATAGTAAAGTAAAATATGTGCAATCAACTACAAGTTATTTGGGTTATTTTATATTTATAAAATTTATGTGATGGAACAAAACTTGATTTGTAGAAAGGAGTTTAATGTATTATATCAACCTCATGTACAATATTTATTACTTCTTTTCCGTTGATTAAATTAGAATTGTTAGTTAAATATCTTATATTGTTTTATTATTGTTGTTGTTGTGGTGGTTATTATTGCTATTATATTATTATTATTGTTACTACTACTAATATTATTTTTATTTTTTATTTTTTTTAATAACGGTTCCTTAACGGTTCCATGCACATATTTTTTATAGGAATCGGGAACCGAACCGTTATAACCCGCTTCGGTTCGGTTCCTACAAATGAGGCATTAATTGTTAACGGTTCGGTTCCTAGATGTTGTTAACGGTTCGGTTCCAATCATTTCTACAATTCCCGGTTCCAAAATCTCACCCCTAGTTTAAACTTCATAAATTTCAACAAAATCAAACGATTCAGTCGATTTTAGTGTTACCAAATGAGTTGTAAATCGTTATTACAATTATTTTATATCACAAAGGATCACTTTGAAATTTTAAATTATTCTTATTCTTAAAAGAACATTGACTTGACCCTTAAGGAATAATATCCTAACACGGTGCAAGATTTCAACGGTGCGAGATTGCGAGAAATATGAAATGTAAAGGTACCAAAAGAATCCTAAAACTGAAGGTGACAACTCCGGTACCTTTCTAAAAACAGAGGTACCATACCTAGCATTCATTTGATTGGACCATATCACTTTATCAATTTTAATTTAGATTTAAATAATTCAACTACTACCTTTTCATTGGTCCATGTGGACTAAGGTATGGTACCTTATGGGTACCATAGAAACTACCAAAACTGAATGGCTATTTCACCAAACTTAGATAATATTGACTTTAGGTTGACCTGTGGATTACACGTATGCTTTGAGATAAAGCAGGGATAATAGTGTGATATGGACCAAGCACTTCTTTGTTTCCAACATCTCATTCTAATTATAATTAATTAATGGGCTATTAATGGTGATGTTATATGTCAGGAAAGGTTCATTTGAATTGCATTTCATACG